ATACATACATACATACATACATACATACACACATACACACATACACACATACACACATACACACATACACACATACATACATACATACATACATACATACATACATACATACATACATACATACATACATGCACATGCACATGCATGCATGCATACATACATACATACATACATACATACATACATACATACATACATACATACATACATACATACATACATACATACATACATACATGATACATATGTATGTATATGTATATATATATATATATATATATATATATATATATATATATATATATCCCAACGGTTTTGGAAGGATTTGGGCTTTCTGTTTTTTTCGGTTGCACGACGCTCCGAGACGGCCCAGGAGGTCTCCAGGTCCGCCCCCAAGCAGCCCCAGAGGCCCCCAAGACAAGCCCAAGGCGGCCCCAGAGAGCCCAAGGCTGGCCCAAGAAACACCCACGATAGCCCAAGAAGGCTCCAAAACAAGCCCAAGAAGGGCCCAAGACAGGGACGGCATACCGAACACCCAGGGCTCCCGCCTCAACAGTGACCCCGGAGGCCCCAGGCAGCTCCCAAGAGTCCTCCAACATAGATCCAAACGCTTCCAAGAACACTCCCACGAGGGCCCCAGTAGGCCAAACATTGATGGTTTTACCATAGTTTTGGAAGGGTTTGGGCCTTCTGATCTTTGCGGCTGTCCGACGCTCCTAGGCGGCCCAGGAGGCCTCCGAGACCGCCCCCAGACAGCTCCAGAAGCGCCCAAGGCCGCCCCGAGGCGGTCCCGGAGAGCCCAAGGCTGGCCCAAGAAGCGCCCAGGGCAGCCCACGAGTGCCCCAAAACAAGCCCGAGAGGTGTCCAAGAGACGGACCGCGTCCGGAAAACCCAGGGCTTCCGCCTCAAGAGAGCCCCAGGAGGCCCCAGGTAGTTCCCAAGAGGCTTCAAACATGGCTTAAGACGCCTCCAGGAGCACCCCCAAGAAGGTCCCAACAGGCCAACATCGTTCATTTTACGTAGGAATTGGAGGATCTTGGCCTTCTTGTCCTTTCGGCTTTCCGACGCTCCAATAGGGCCCAGCGCGCCTCCGGGTCCGCTCCCAAACAGCCCTAATTAGGCGGGCGCAGAGAGCCCCAGGGAACCCGCAAGACCTGCCCTACACAACCCAAGAGTTCCTCGGCAGGATAGTCCGGGAGGGGGGAAGAGCGGGGGAGCCTCTGGCGCCCCATGCTCCGGAAACGCCCCTCCGGAACATGGCGTGCGAACATGAGCGGAGTGCACGCCGCCGTCTTCGTGGTAAGAATCGTCACGGGCATCGCACCTGAGCGGTGACCTCAACTAGAACCTGAGCGCGCGCGAGGCGCGCGCGACGGTTCTAGTATTTACACACATATATATATATATGTGTATATATGTATATATATGTATATATGTATATGTTTGTGTATATATATATATATATATATATTGCACCATACCTAATGCGCCACTCCCTTGTCGCCGGACCCCCTTTTGGGTCGGACATATCGCTCGAAAGCGCCCAAGATGGCCTCCAGATGGCACACAAGGCTTCCAACACGGCCCAAGGGGTCTCCAAGAGCATTCCTCCAAGGGCCCCAAGAAGCCCAAATCATTGATTTAGCTTGGGGCATTGATGGACTTCAGCAACTCTGCCTGCTCAGCGTCCCGACGCTCCAAGACGGTCCCGGACACCCAGATACCGTCCCAACAGGCCCCCACGAGGGCGCCGAGACGCCCAGGGACGCCCTGCCGCGGGGCTCGGGACGGGGCCTTCGGACGGGGGGCTGGGGGGCCCTGCCGTGGCGCCAGGGACTCTTTCGGATCGCCCGGCGACGGCTCCAGATCGCCAGACATGGCGTTTCCGGGCAGCGAACACGACCACCGACGGCCCGAGATCACCTCTGAATGAGCCACTGACTGTCCAAGAGGCCACAGAGAGGCCTCCAAGGTGCCTCCCAAGGAGCCCCAGCATGCACAAATAAGAGATGTTCCTCCAGTTGTTCAAGGATTTTCGGGCTCTCGCCTTTTCAGCTTCCCGACGCTCCACGACGGCCCAAGAGGCCCCCAAGACCGTTCCAAGACAGCCTTAGAGGCATCGAAGACGGCCACAGGACAGCCCAAGAGGGCCCCAAGATGGCGCCAGATGCGCTCAAGACGGCCCGAGAGGGCCCCACTACTGCCTCAAGAGGGAGTAAAGTGGCAACACGAACCAAAAATCCGGGCCTTCACCCCGAGACGCTCTCGGGAAGCCCCGAGAAGCCCCCAACAGGCCCCAAGAGGCCCCAAGACGCGCCCCAGGGGCCGAAGAGGTTCCAAGAGGCCTTCCAAGAAGGCCCCAAGAGGCAAAAATCAATGTCTTGCCATAGGTTGTTGATTGATTTTCGAGGTTTCAGCCTTTGCGGCCCAACAGGCCTCCAAGACCGTTCCAAGATAGCCCAAGAGGCCTCCCAGAGGGCCCCAAGGCGACCCACACTGGCCCCACGACGGCGCTTGAGGCGCCCAAGACGGCCAGAGACGGCGCCAAGACGGCCCCAAGAGGGGCCTAAGAGGGTTAAGACGAATCGAAAATCCGATCCTTCCACCCCGAGAGGCTGTCAGGAAGCCCCAAGACGCCCCCAATAGGATCCAAGAGGCGCCCACGAAGCTCTCCAGAGGGCCGAAGAGGTTCCAAGAGACCTCCCAAGAAGGCCCCAAGAGGCAAACATTATTTTTCAGCCTTTTGGCATCTTGACGCTCGAAGACGGCCCGAGAGGCCCCCAAGATCGCTCCAAGGTAGCCGAAGAGGCCTTCAAGAGGACCCCAAGATGGCCCACGAGGACCCTAAGACGGTGCCTGAGGCGCCCAAGACGGCCCGGGAGTGCCCGAAGACGGCCCCAAGAGAGACCCGAGAAGGGGAACGCGAACCCAACAGCAGAGCCTTCCGCCCTAAGAGGCCACAGGAGGCCCCAAGAGTCCCCACGGGGCACACAAAAGCTTCCCAAGAGGCCCCACAAGGCCTCCAGGAGACGTACAAGGAGCCCCAAGATAGCCGAATAATGCCCTCGATGCATCAAGACTGCCTCCAGGAGGCCCCCCGCGAGGCTTCCGGATTGCCTCAGTGTGGCCCCAGGTGGCCTCAAGTCGGGCCTCCGCGAAGCCAAGACGGCTAATGACGGCTTCAGATTGCAGAACATCACTTTCCGACTGCCCAGAGAACCCCGACGATGCCCCCAAGGGGTCCCAAGAAGCCCCAAGACGCCCCCCCAACAAGCACCAAAGAGATGCCTCCAACAGCCAATCGAGAAAGCACGGAGAGCCCCCCAGAAGCCATTCAGATGCCCCCGCGAAGACCCAAGGGGTTCCCAAGAGGCCCTGAGGAGGCACGACTATGTCACGCGCCTGTTCTTGATAGCTCTGTCCAGGATCATCCAGCGCCCCCCCAGCCTGGGCTAGAACCTGAGCGCGCGCGAAGCGCGCGATTGTATATGCATATGTATATATATATACACATCTATATATAGGTGTGTGTGTGTGTCCCGAAGGGGGACCGGTAAATAGATAGGGAAGACTAAGAAAGCGAGCGATGATCAGGAGACGCTCAGAAGAAACAAGGACAGGCGAATACGCATACGTGGACATACCGAGACGCAGACAGAGACGGACAGCACAGAGATATTGACGGGCACATGTGCAGACACCAGCGAAGCACCGGCACGGGCCTCAGCAGCGACCGTGGCGCACAGCTGCAGGCAGACAGAGGCAGGCATGGACACAGTCGGGCAGTCGGCGACGGAGCGAGCGAGGGAGAGAGAGAGAGAGGGGGGGAGAGAGAGAGAGAGAGAGAGAGAGAGAGAGACCTACACTTTTCGATTCGCGGGTCGAGAGCGCACCTCTTCTGGTCGAAGCTAGAGAGAGAGGGAGAGAGAGAGAGAGAAAGAGAGAGAGAGAGAGACCTACACTTTTCGATTCGCGGGTCGAGGGCGCACCCCTTCCGGTCGAAGCCAGAGAGAGAGGGAGAGAGAGAGACAGAGACCTACACTTTTCGATTCGCGGGTCGAGAGCGCACCCCTTCTGGTCGAAGCCAGAGAAAGAGAGAGAGAGAGAGAGTTGCACGCGGGCAGGCAGGCGGGCAGGCAGAGGGACCGCCACGGGCAGCAGCAGGTGCCCGCCGGGGCAGGGCGGGGCTGCCCCGCCGCGGCACGGCCCGGCCCCCGCCTCGCTGCCGGCCGGCCTGGCCCTCGCCCCCCTCCCAGGGGTAAAACGACGCGAAGATCGGGACAAAATCGGATCGGGATGACTCGAAATCTCTGAGAATCGGCGAGTGCGGAGGATGCATTGGGCGCCGCGGCCGCTCCAGAGCGTTCCGGAACGCTCCGAGAGCGCTCCAGAACGCTCTGGAGCGATTTATCCCCATCCTAGCCCTGTTTTAAGGGGAGGGACTCCCCCAACGCCTCTTGCCGCCGAGCGCCCTCCACTACTCGCAGAGTGCCTACTCGGAAGCGTCCGACAGAGAATCAGGTTCGCCTCGCAGTAGTGGACCGCCTCTTGCAGTGGATCGTGGCCCGCCCGCGCCGGATCCAGGCCACTTGCGAGGAGCTGCTTTGCGAGGAGTGGAGCGCGCTTGTCTATCTTGGAGGCCGCTTGCAAAGGGGGAAGGCGACGAATTGGGGGGGGGGGCCCGCGAGGGCTGCCGAAGAGGGGCCCTGTCAGCCCCGAGGGGGGCCTCAGAAGGGGGGGGGGCCTCGAGGGCCCGAGAAGCCCCCCCCCCGCTCCCCAGCGATCGCCCTCCCATGAGTTCGCGCCCCCCCCATGGATCGCCCCCCCTCGATCGCCCCCCCCCCCCCCCCCCTCGATGTCGCCCCCTCCTCCATGGATCGCCCCATCCACGGATCGCCCCTCCCGTGGATCGCCCCCCCCCCCCCCCCGTGACATTCGCGCCCAGGCCGCCCTCGCCGCCTCCCCGCCGCGGCCGCCGCCTTTGGCCCCGCCCCGCCCAGGTGGTCTTCATGCCCGGCTGGTCCGCATTCGCGGAGTCCGCGGAGGCCGCGCGCGCGGTGGAGCAGCTGGGCCTGGTGTGGCCAGGCGGCGCGCGCGCGGCGCTGCCTGCCCACCTAGGCGCCTCCTCCTCCCTCCTCGTCCTGCTTTTAGGTCGGGTCGTCCAAAAATGAAACATGGCCCACGAATCCTCAAACATAGTCCAACAAATAATCAAAACATCGTCCCCAGACTATTTCAAGATCGTCCTCCTGTAGAGGGACACGCCCGAGTTAATCCTACCTAATTATACCCCCCTCTCCAGAGGAGGAAAAGGTCCTCATACCTCTACCCTTTCCCCGTTTCCCCCTTTCTGGGCCTCCTCGGAGGCCCTCGTCGCCACCGCTGGATTCGCCTCGGAATCCTGGTCAGAACGCACCCCGGGAGAGGTCTGGGGAGCAGCGGTATCGGTACTGTGTGGTTTCCCCACCTCTTGGCATCGTTCGGACGTGTGCATGTTGTTTGTATCGGCGAGGACCTTCGAGGAGCACCCTCGACCATCCGGCCAAACAATAGCACCCGCGAGACCGAAGAGGGAACCAGGGATGGACGTCCGAGCGACGGCGAGCTCCTCCTTCTCCCTCCTCGTCCCCCTCCCTTCTCCTCCTCAGGATCCCTCTCCTCTCTCCGCGTCCTCCTTCTCCACGCTCTCCTCTCCCTCTCCTGCCTCCTCCTCCTCCTTCTACCAAGTGTCGGTGGCGAGCACGGGGGGTAAGCGAGAAGTGGCGGGCCTTCTCCGAAGGCTCGGAAGCCCCCGGGCCTTCTGAGAAGCCCCGCCGCCTTTGAGAAGGCCTTCTCCTTCTCGCTTCCCCCCTCGCTCGCCACCGATCCTCCTCCACGCTCGCCTCTCCCTCTCCTGCCTCCTTCCCCCAAGTGGCCCAAGAGCCTCCCAGCAGGGCCACCAGCACTTGGGAGTGTTGATCCATTTTGCAGGTGCGCAGACTTCTTAGGCCAAGGCGAGGTCCAAATCCGTAACTCCTCCCGCCCCCCCCTATGGAAATACCCCCCCCTCCCCCTCCCTCGAGTACAGATGCGGCTTTCCCTCGCGACGCTCCGGAACGAAGGGTCCGGCGCTTGTCCACCGAGGCACTGCGTCTGCACGCAGGTGTTCTTGCATATGTTGCAGGTATGTCTTCCGCATGCCATTTTCTGCCGGTGCGCCGTCCGGGCGCGGCTCCTGCCTGCCTGCCTGTCGCACCACGAGACGTGACCTTATAGGCCAGGCCGGGCGTTTCGCCTTGGACGTTCCTTGCAGCTCGCCATCCTGGACCTAGGGGAAGTCCAACGGCTACTTGTACGGATGGAGGGCCGTCGGGCGGGCGGTAAGGGGGGGTGACCCTAAGGGGGGTGAAGAAAAAGGCCGTAAAGGGGCTCTTCAGGGCCCCATTTGGAGCCAGAGGGTGCTCTAAAGGGCCCCTTCAGGGCCATTTTTTTCACCTCCACTTTGGATCACCCCCTAATGACCGCCCGCCGTCCTTACAATTCGCCCTCCCAGGCGTACGGGAATCTCAACGGCTCGGCTGATGTTGCCCCCCCCCCCAGAGCCCCCCCCCCGACGTTGCCGCTCGCTTCGTGCTAATGTTAAGTCGGGCGTGTCCCTGTACAGGGGGACTATTCGAAAATAGTCCATCATACTATGGGGACGATTTTTCTACTATTCAGCATGTTCGATTATTTTATTGTTTTTTCGTCCAGAATGCGCCCGTAGGGGGACATGCCTGACCTAAGGCTAATTGGCTGGGCGAGGCAGGCCCCGGGCATGCCAGACTCGTCAACCATGCGCTGGCGGTTTTTCTTTCGACGCTTGCAAGGTCAGCGCTACTTCAAAACGCTGGCAAGAGGCGTTTTGGCCCACGCGCAGGGATGCCCGAAACTCGGCAGTGCCCTCGCAGCACGGAAGAACGCGATGTTTCTGACAGGTGCCCGAACTGTCGGGCGCTTCGATTTTGAGCGGCGTTGCAATTTCTTTACGGCGAGGCTTGCAGGATTCAGTCGGGCATGTTCCGCTACAGGAGGAGCACTCTAGACAGTCCAAGAAATAGGTTGGGGACGATGTTTCGGCTACTATTGACCATTTTTGTATATCT